CCTCAACCTTCCCTCCTAGGTTTTTCAACTTGATTAGCCTTCAAAAATATGGCTTAGAGTATGATTAAACACATTATTTCATCACAAAAAGGCAGAGCATGATAGATATGCACTACATGTTGAGACAGGTTTGTCTAAGCAGGTCTTCAAAGGAAATTCCAGCCAAATATTCAATTTGTGCATTTGGCAAAGAACAAACTCTTGAGGAGATTGTTCTCTTTCTCTTTGCTTCTCCAGAAGACCACACAGAAGTCAAAATCTGCCTTGGCAATAGAAAGCAACGCTGTGGCCTTGGGTCGACTAGTCTCTAAAAGCAATAAATCATGTCACGTTAAGAAGGAAACATCCTTTTTGAGCAAAGTTTGGTTTTTATTTAGACTCAGACAATGAAGAGTATGCAAACAAGTTCAGTAGGTGCTTTCCTCACAATGACGAGTTTCTCTAAAATTAGCGCATGACTACAAGTGAACCTTGATATAGGCGTGTGACACAAACAACGAGTTAAAGTTAATAATACAGTGCATAGTCAGCATGCCTTTGGCCCTCTAATATGCACCTGTACATACAAGCATTCGACTTTACAATGACCGGTGCCATTGTGTGTGGCAAAAGCCCCGGTTGCCAAGGGTAACAATCCTTTTTTTCTTATAATCACCTTTGTCTTGGCTTCTCTCATTGGCTCATAAACCTCTGGTAAATAGCCAATGAAGACAGGCCTTATTAAGAGTCCATTGTGATGCGTTTTTAAAGCCCTCTGGGTGTTCTATGAAGTCTCGGGCCATCACCGTCCCGTTCTGCTCTGTCTGACTGAATGTTACACTTCTAGAATACTAACTATGTGCCTGTCAGTGGACCCCGGCTTCTTTTCCCCATCCAAATGGGGCCCCAACAGCCGTCTCGCTCTACTAGAATATCTAAGTAATTCTGAGAAGCAGGATTTTTTCCCCTCCTCCACACGTAATTAATACAGAAATTAAACATAACATGGACAGATTGGAGTAATTATGAACTTATTTTAACTCAAGTTACTTGACTGAATAGCAAGTTTTAGCCTCCTTTTGGGGCTAATCACGTCAGAAAGATTATTGTCAAAAAAAGGCCGATAAAATGCCCCTACGTGTCGGTGGAACATTCAGTCTGCAGAGTTTTCATTACTGTGCTAATGGCGCTAAATGAGGGAGTAGCATTGTTTATTAGCTGTCCTGTTGGTGTAAACCAGGACTTTGTTTGTCCTTGCAGACTCTGATAATGGAGTAAAATGGAGGTGTTTACTCGTCTTTTAGGACAACACTGTGAGCATCCCATCTGGTCAGTGCACCAACAGTGAGCACAGGATATTTATGTTACTGCTGAAGAATGTTCATTAGGCAACAGCTGTGTGTGAAAAAGAAAAAGTTTTTTTTTTTAGCACATTCTCACTCAATATCTCCCAATTCTTTTCTTGCTTTTCAGCTTGTCAATGTGTTGAATTGATGACTGTCCCTTTGGAAAAAAAAAAAAGATCTTTAATCCTTCAGCAAACACCACAGTAACGTTTAATCCTTGAAAATATTTTCCTAGGGCTTTTTGTTCATGTACGACTGAAACTTCATCATAACCAGGGCCTGCGAAATAGGCCAGGAGATATTTCAAACCCGTCTCAGATTTATTAGAAAAGTAAGCGTCTTGTGCATTGCACAAGATTTATTCTGAGAAGTGAATCATTGCTTGGCCTAGTTTGATTTATTTAGGAACTACAAAAATAAAAAGCTACTCTGTGCTCCCTAATCAATTTAACTGCAGGACGACAAATTATAAAAATGTCTTAAATATCTCAAAGCCACTTTATATTTGTGAAATTTATCCAGAGCTTTGTCCTCTTGTCAGTTTTGTATTTATGGTTGAACCAGTCCGTGTAACACTGGAAACTATCCATGCCTTCTTTGGGCCTGGCAAACATAACGTAACTTGAATCCGCAAAGAATTATCAGAGAAAAGCAGCCACAATTAGCTATAATTATATATTCTACATAAAAACCATGATATTAAAATGAGAACTAGAGGGAAAGACAGAAGGAAATTGAAAAAGAATAAAGACAGAACAAGAAGGAGAGGGGAAAACAAGAGGGTGAGAGAGTGAGACGTTGTGGATCTTGGCAATGGAAAATGTCACAGGAGGTTTACCATGGGGAGCCCGAGAGGAGACACACATTTGCTTGCAGGGTATTGCTTTACAGTGAATTTCTGTTATTGTTGATGAAAGGCCTGTCTAGAACTACACGTGTCAATTGAGGGAAAAGGAGATTGGGGCTGGTATAAACTGCAAACTGCTGCCCCAAATGCAGGCACCATATAGTATTAAGACCCAGCACCACCTCCCAGCTCAGTCCGACGCCTAATCTAAATGGATTTTGTCAATCGTAGTTACTTATAAATAGCTCAGCTCAGCTGTAACTCTGTTTAAATCCAATGGTGACAACTTGCGTGAGAGCTTCTGCCATTATCCTCCCTATTGTGTTTACAGTCTCACAGTGTGACCGTGAATTAACCTCACTTTCTTTTTCCTTTCAGAGGTAGAGCATTTATTTGAAACAATCAGTCTTATCTCACCAAGTGGTATCGTTTTACAGGCTTTGCTGTTCAAAGAGCACTTTTATATTGAGAGTATTACAGCCCTGTTAGTAACTTCATGTATAGTTTTCATATTTTACTTTGAAATAACCTTAATATGGGTCCAGAGTTTATTAATATTCAACCGGATTTACAGAATCCTACCTCAACCTTCCCTCCTAGGTTTTTCAACTTGATTAGCCTTCAAAAATATGGCTTAGAGTATGATTAAACACATTATTTCATCACAAAAAGGCAGAGCATGATAGATATGCACTACATGTTGAGTATATTTGCTGTTTCAAAATGACACTTATCCAATAATCTCAACATTGTGATTCTGATTTATAGAATACTCGTGCTGTATTCTATGCTGTTGTGTGTATTTCAAGCAACTGTTGTTATCTGTGAATCCAGACAAGGCAGTAAAGCATGCATATGAACTTTTGAAGACAATGTAGCAAAACAACATGACTTCCTTGTCTCAGTCTTTTGATTGAGTAATCGTGCTTTCGTTTTTTTGTTTGTGTGTGCAGTTTTGCAAAATGAATGCATGCTGTTAATAATCTGATATTCACACTGTCTTTATTTTAGAAATATTTTAGACATTTGTTGTATTGTACTTTTAATAGTAGTAGTAGTAGTATATTAAGAATTTATAATATTGTTTTTATTTTTATTTCATTTTTTTTTATTTAGAAGTTTATGCACAAGCACACATTAAATGTGATTTGATTCTTCTAACAGTTTGATGGAATCATTATGTTGATGTTTTGTGAAAGCCTTAACGCGTCAATCCTGACTAAACAACAAATGGTCAGATTAAATGAAAAGAAACAAAACCATTTTCCCATCCCAATCTCACTGCATTGCTTGCCTAATATGCTAATAGCATTCCCTCTGTATCTTGGAATATAAACTGATGCATCACTGCAGCTGGATCTGCAATTTGGTAGCTAAATGTTCTCCTCTGCTGCCAACCGTGTTTCAAAACTTAGTACGCTGACTACCTTGACAGCATTTTGCGGCGTCACGGGCACTAGAAACACGGGTAAACATGCTGTCTATGCAGTGCACTGTGTTTTGAATGCGCCGTCGCCCCGAACGCGCCTGTGATGCCCAAAAATAGTGGCACGAAACTCACTAAAGTCACGGCCTGTGCGACAAGAAAAGAATCAGTGCAACTTAAATAACTTTACCTTACCTGCGATAAAGACATGTTTAAGTAGACAAAGAGTCCGGTGGTCGAAGCGATCTGCAGCACGACCACCACGATCACCACCATCGCGATCCATAACTTTGACGGCGAGTCTCGAACACGGCCGTTCGCCGGAACCATCATGTATGCGCTGGACTCGCTGCTGACCGACCTGAAGTAATCCTGGTTGTTCTGAGTAGCCATGGCATTCCTAAGACTGAGTAGATACGCGGTTAGTGACAAACAAACAGAAATCAGCAACGGGACGTTGAATAAACTCCTTGTTGGCGCACAGCGGCCGTGGGAGGGTAGAGTCTGTCCCACACTCGCGTGCACTCACTAATGCTGTAGGACTAGGCTTGTGTGTGTGTGTGTGGTGGGTTGAGTCTTGAGAGTTTCTCAAGGTAGGCTACACTTTACAACTCATGACTTTTCCTCATACAAGATGACCCACTGAGAACAACTGCAATAGGAATAAATACATGTCTTAGTAATAGATTTATATTTTATATTGATCATTATTTTAAACTGTTATTGTGTCATCATATAATATTGGTCATATTCTCCCAACCTACAGAAAAGCCCAGAATGCTCTCTTTCCACTCTACAGAAACCCATTAAACTTCTCATCCTTTTTGACTCTAAGGCACCCAGTTGTCGATAACAGTATTCAAAGGCCCCACGAGTTTTCCAGTTGTTTATGATTCACTGGATGAGAATTAAGGATAAGGCTTAAAATAAATAAAATATTTATATACAATTTCTTAATGATAAAATATTTACAAGCTGTGCATAACTATATATAAAAAAATGCATATTCATTATAAAAATGCACATGGAGTTATAATAATGTGTGTGTGTGTGTGTGTGTGAGTTTATGAGCGCTGCTAGTGCACGTGTCTCTTATAAACTCTTTATTGACATCTAGCCTATGGTTCCACGACGAAAAAGGCTCTTCAGATTATTAATGAACTAATTAATTATTCATGCTGCTTCAAAAAAAAAAAAAACCTTTTGAGAGGGGTAAATTAAAATAAGAAATCTTGATTTGTTTGTTATTGCTTATTCTACTTGTTTTTGTTGCTTATTTTATGCTTGTTTTATCTTCTTTAAAACCATTTTAAGTCATCTTGAGGCCCCCTTGGAAGTTGAGAATGCTTGGTTTAAATAAGCCTAAGCTGGTTTGCTGGTCTTCAAGTTTAAGATGGTCTAGACAGACCAGCTGAGAAGTGTCCAAAACCCCTCTACAACCATAAACCATCTTAGGATGGTTTAAGATATTATTGTGAAGCAGGGTGAGTAAACCATTATATTTATATAGAACTTATTTTTTATAGTCCTTAAAATAAATGTTGGACATACCTGGACTTAAAACATGCAGATGAATTATTAGATATATTAGCAAACTGAATTGCTGGTGGGCTATTTGTGTGACTGAGAAGGACAAGATAACAAATGCAGGGGATCTGGTTTGATGACCTTTACTTACTTAACAGAGCCTTGTTTTTGTAAAGGTAAAAAATATTAAGGGGGAAAAAAAGAAAAAGAAAAAGAAAGATGACCTAGAATGATCTGTGTACATCTGACTAAAACAACTGAAGATGAAAGACTTTGAGTATATCTAATAAATTACATTTATCACTTGCACTCTTCAGCCGTCTTAAACATTCCAGTCGTCTTGAGATAAACGGTCCATGGTAAAACTGAAGGGACACGAAACTTCACTCCTCTCAACACACTGTAAATATATCTGTCTGTTTTAGCCATAAACAGCAGGAGACGAGCATCGTGTGTGATGTCTATATTAGCATCCAGTGGAGATGGAAGACAGATGTCTTATGTCAGATGTTCGGTTGGTCGAGGCCCACGGTCAGCCGGAGAAACCAACCAGACTGATGCTCTCACCTCGTCCGCAGATCATCGCTGGTCTCTGCTATGGAAGTGCATTGAAAGGGGTGAGCAGCTAATAGATATATGAGACAACTCCTCTTGGATGGATATCTCATGTCTGTTACTGATTGTCTGTCAAATGATTTCTAGCAATGGTATTTGGTTGCACAATGCTTAGAGTAGTCTTAGAATTTAGTCATCTAATTTTTTTTCTTCAAGACTGGTCATAAATTTGTATAGTAAAAAGGTAGACTGGTCTTATTTGAATCGTAAAAGTAAGACACAGTCATCATAGTGGTATATCCAACTGGCTCCTGAGCTGTAGAGATGAGAGATACAAAAATATCAAGACAACTGCCAGTTTTCTGAAATGTTATATTTAAGTATGCAAGCGAGACATTCATTAAATATGGACTAATTTGCATACATTTCCTGAACATTGATTTAAGGCAGGTTCAAAATGTGTTTCATTTTTGCTGACATATTAGAATTAAAGGCTTTTAAAGAGCAAATTTTGGATCTTTTTTTTTTTTAAGTCAGAAACTACTTTCAACAGCCTTCTATTGGACATTTTTGGCTCAGTGCATGAGTTAAAAAAACCTCAGCCTTCAAAGATATGTATTGTAATTTCAGTCTACAGATGCAAATAGATAAAGTATAATAATATGAACATTTAAATGTGTGTGTTTTTTTTTGCATGTTTTCTTTCCACTAGTCTGAAAGAAGATATGTTATGGAAGCAAAATCACCCCAAAAATCTCAAAACAGGTCAATAGATATGGACAAAAACACTTTTGAGCCAATTTTCAGAAAATCCTTTCTTTTTCATTTGCAGAAAGAAAGTAACTCAAACCGGTTTGGAACAACATGAGGTTGAGTAAATTATGAGGTTTTTTAATTTTTATTTATTGAGTTAACTATCCCATTAATTTTTTTTATTTGAGTTACCTATTCCTTTAATACAGTGTGACACACATTGGATCACATTATGAACTGCAGATTACAGAGAAAATGACGTGTTTTACACACAATGACCTTATCTTCATGATAGATAGGGCCTGCAAAGAGCCCGATGTGAAGATTCTTTAAAAACCTGAACACACATTGCTATTCTCCAGAGCAAACATGTTAAATGTATTGTGCTCATTTTAATTTATTTAGTCTTTTATGCAGTTTACCTTCTCCGCCGGCTCCTTTATGGCCCATTTGATCATATAAATACGAAGGATTGCTCGCCATCCCTGTTGACTTAAGTCGCGGCGCTTCAGTGCTTCGCTAGGCTTGAATGATACGAATAGAAAATATATGAGTACATTGAGTCTGAGGCCTGTTTAGTGTAAGGAATTCCTTTACATGTGTCTGGCTCTCATTGTAGAGAATAAATCGATGCATCATAGCTTTGGGAAAAGGGTGGGAGGAGGGGGTTGTTGGGAGATTTTCCAGAACCCCCATGATCCATTTGAGTTTGACTCTATATATGTCAGCTCTGTTGCAATCATTTCTTCCCTTCTCTCTCTTCCCCACTCCCTTTTATCTTTTTTTCCGTATGCACGTTTTTTCACTGTCTCTCATTTTTGACAGTGATGGCTCCTCAGACATTGAAACAAACACTTCTCCAGATGCGTATAAGGGGGCTGGACTGATAGCCATTGTGTCTTCACTGACACTGCAGCTGTGAAGTCAGTCCCCCTTGTGTATAAGAATATGCGTGTGTGCGGGAGAGAGCATTTCTGGGAGACTGATAGAGCGAGGCAGAGGGTCACAGAATGAGTATGTGCGATTTTGTGTGTGTCCCTGATTTTCAAGCTGTGGTCACCAAGAGCGGGAGTGAGTGGGATGCAGGTTTTCGCTAAAGCGCATTCCTGCCATGTTAGGTATCACTGCTTGGGGAGTATTAATGGGATGCAGTGAAATAGTCCTGCTTTTTATACACCCCGCAAAGCCCTGCGCAGCTCCATCATAAAACAGCTTCAACAATATAGCATTCACTGTTTATCATTTTCAGACACACTTTATTATAGGTACTGACATTTTTTTTTGAAAAATAACAACACGGGAACATACAGAATACAGGATCTTCGGTCAAGAATGTGTCCGTGTGTTTTGGGTGGTAGTAACTTCCAAAGCTGATATGTAGTCAGATTTCCGCTTACCTAATAACGGCTGTGGTTTGAGCGCTTGGACCGTTAGAGCAGATCTCATACAAACAGACAGCGTGCATGCAGCTGTTTCGTCTTTAAGGGCTCATTTTCAATGGGTCTGAGTGAAATTGATTATAACTGTGTATACTTTGTCATGACATTGTCTCCTTTTATTAATGTTTGGGATGTGAAAGATTGTGTGGATGAAGATTAATGTCTGCCATTTTCTGTCTTTATTTCAAGGGGGTGTTGCATGGATCATTGACCAGTTCTGCAAGGGTAAGGCTTCAAGATCAGTTTAAACATACGTTGTCAATCAGGTGCTGCAGATGCTCCAGGAGAGAATCGGAGCTCTTATAGTGCCCTCTGCTGGTCTCTTGCTGCATGTCACAAAACTCATCGAGAGACGCCATCAAAGCAACCATTGTCCAGCCATTCAGACGGGCACTCCGAGAGAGTCTGCAAAGCTACGGGAAAGTAATAAAAACTAATACAATTATTTTATAATATAAATGATAGAATTCATTGTGAGGACTTCTAATGAAACTGATAGGCTCTTTCAAAGCAATTCAGCTATGGGCAGTATAATGCATGCCATCTAATTCAATAGGTTTGAGTTTATTACAAAAGTACAAGGAAGCACTATCCTTATACTTCTATAATAAACTCAAACCTACTCTATTAGATGGGGACAAGGACTGTTGTAAAATGAGTTGTAGAACTGTCAGTTTAACCACTTAGAAATTATTAAAAATGATTTATAGGACAAAAACCTTTTCAGAAAGAAAAATCAGTTCAGTTCACTTCTGGGATTTAATTTGATTTGCTAATATGTTTCCATATTTACTTCTACTGGAACCTCAATTCAAACATTTTTAATTATGATGCCATTACTGACTTGTTCTATTTGATTTATTAAATCATTTTGGTTTGTGATAAAATGTTTCCTTTTTATTATTATTATTTTTAATTATAATGCTCAAAAGTCTGTCTATAAACTCAAAGCTGATGTCTCAGACAACAACTGGAATAGTTGTAATATTGGGTGAGTTGAAACACTGTTAGTTTAACCACATATATACAAATTTCAGGATGAAAAATCAATTCTGGGATTTGGTTTGCCCATTTAATTTTACTGAAACCACGCTCCAAACTAATTTGAATGGTTAGCCAATATATATATATTTTTTTTCAAATAGGTTTGAGTTTATTACAAAAGTACAAGGAAGCACTATCCTTATACTTCTATAATAAACTCAAACCTACTCTATTAGATGGGGACAAGGACTGTTGTAAAATGAGTTGTAGAACTGTCAGTTTAACCACTTAGAAATTATTAAAAATGATTTATAGGACAAAAACCTTTTCAGAAAGAAAAATCAGTTCAGTTCACTTCTGGGATTTAATTTGATTTGCTAATATGTTTCCATATTTACTTCTACTGGAACCTCAATTCAAACATTTTTAATTATGATGCCATTACTGACTTGTTCTATTTGATTTATTAAATCATTTTGGTTTGTGATAAAATGTTTCCTTTTTATTATTATTATTTTTAATTATAATGCTCAAAAGTCTGTCTATAAACTCAAAGCTGATGTCTCAGACAACAACTGGAATAGTTGTAATATTGGGTGAGTTGAAACACTGTTAGTTTAACCACATATATACAAATTTCAGGATGAAAAATCAATTCTGGGATTTGGTTTGCCCATTTAATTTTACGCTCCAAACGCTCCAAACTAATTTGAATGGTTAGCCAAAATATATATATTTTTTTTCAAAAATTAGTAAAAAAAAAAAAAAAAAAAAGTAAACTGATTTCCAGCATAAAACCAAATCAGCACAAAATTTAACCTGATGTCAATGTCCTAGGCAACCTACCCCACCTATTGTTACAACTCAAAAATACAGCGTTAAAGACCATTCACACCAAGAACAATAACAATAACGATAACCGTTTCAATAATCCTTCAAATTCTATGAGAATAGAGAATTCCACACCATAGCTAAAGACCTGTTCTTACCAAGAATGTTTACTATAGGTTAACAATGGACGCTAACGTACTTATGTTTATTATAAGCATGTGCTGCAGCTGTCATCTGCTGCTTTAAATGCTCGAGCTTATTAAAGCCGGGTGGATTCTGATTGGCTGTTATTGTTTTCATCGCTCGTGAGCTGCAAAAATCATTCTGAAAGTGATTCCGATATTAATCTTCTGTTGTGTTATCATTATAGCTGTGGTGTGGACTTTCCTATTCTCATAGAATCTGAATGATTATTAAAACTTTATAGTTATTGTTTTACTGCAGGTATTGTCCTTGGTGTGAACGTCCTTCAGACATTAAAGCAAACAGTGTTACAACCAGCCACATTTTCCTCTGTTATAGAGACTATATAAAATTCAGTCTGTGAAAACTGTAATATTCTGTACCTTTTGCTGAAGGCTTTTGTCTGGTAGATCAAACTGAAGTGCTTTAGTCCTTTTCTGAGAGGCTGCGGCCCAGAGTAGAGCACATTGCAGTTCCTGGACAAGACTTTCCCCAGCACGCATCTTGATTACCCATGGTGTAATGTCTTTCTCTGGGCCAAATTCTGCTCCCTGAGATTGCTTATTAAACAGTAAGCTGGAAGCATCACACACAAAATTCTGAAGCACGTCTTCTGCAAAGTTGTTGGCAAATGTGTGTACCGATGATTTCACTTTTATGGCGTCATCTGTAATGGGGTTCAGTTCTGATTTATCGCTGCGACATCTGAAGGTTTTGGCTTTGTGGGAGTTCACTGAGTCTTTACACAGTGTGTTCGAATATCTTCCTTCTTCGCATGGCTGTGGTTCTACAGCTTGGCCCGAAAGATGTGGCTGGGTTCCATGTTTAAACACACCCTGTCCTAGCTTAGCAAAAGCATGAACCATGGCGTTTAAGATTAGCTAAAACTTTCACCCTGTCTGTTGCAGAGATCATAGACCTTGTGTCTGGAGCCATGTACGTTGAGTATGATGTTGTTTCTTCCTCCAAGACCTTCCTTTCTCCTCTCGCCATCACCTCTGCTAGAGACGTTGTGACAATTTCACTCGCTAGTTGGTCAGCAATAACCCACATGCTTTTCACACAACCCTCATCCTTTACTTTGATCTCGTTTGTGGTGATAAAATGAAGGATATCTGCAGAAATTTGAGTTGCAAAGTCAGTCAGCCTGGGAACATAATTTTGGAGTCCACCATCATCAACTTCTCCATCCTCGCTTTCTTCTAAGCCTCCGTTTCGACAGCACTCCAGTGAAAGTGAGCCCATCAGTCTCACCATGAAGTCAGTGGACGCATCTGTCATTTGGTTCTCCATTAGTGGTTGCATGTGGTCTTTGGGGGTCGGTGGAGGGGGTGAAGGAAGGAATTATTTAGCCAGTCCTCCCTTTAGTTTCCTTGTGAAACTGTCTCGACTCTTTATCATCTCCGGAAGTAAAGGGGTGCTTGGAGGAGCAACAGGGTACTCAATAGAGCCCAGACTAGCCATGCTCTTCAAGGAAGTAGCATATACTGTGGTAGATGTGTCATCATATTCCTCCATCTTGTTGTCTGTTTCCATTTCAGATGTGTTTTTATCACAGTTGTACCCCGAAGAGCACAGAACCAATGCATTTCCATAAGTCCCCTCCACAACCCCGTACTTCTGGATGATGGATCATCAGAGTGATGATGCCTCTACATCTCTTCCAATGCTTTGCAACAGACTTGTAAAGTTAACTCTTCAGCTAGCATCTCAACATCGTCCCCTCTCACGTTGACGGATTCTCTTGGGTTTCTGATCCTGACGGCTGAGTCTATAATAGCTTTGGCTGTCATCTGTGCAAAGTGTTGAATGGGCTTTAAATTCTGTTCTAATGTTACATCCAGCACATGGCTGTATGTTTCCAAAGTGTGTTGGATTGATGATGGGTTATAAGCAGGTTGTGGGTATGATTCACCATGGATTACTACCTGTGCAGAGTCCTGAGAAGGTCGTAACAGAAAAGTGAAGACTTGACTTTCAAAAAGTAAGGTTGCTAATACAATTTATACAGTGAACAATTTATACTTTAGCTGTTTTTTCTATGGTGTTAAATATTTGTAAACTTAACTTAGAAGAGATTGAAAAGTCTCACAACTAAAGTACTTACTTGCAGGCTTTTAATATACTTTTATACTAAATACTATGCTAACATTTCTGTACTTGCGTCAGAGTGAGCCGAATCTGAAGTGGTGACTAGATCACACAGTTTAAGTGAGCTGCACAGCCAATCCTCATTAATCATCTGGAAAAGAGATTGAACAAGATGTAATTTAGGGTTGGACAATATATTGACATATAGGTTATCAATATTTTTTCAAACATTGTTCTGAGTCAATGTTGTTCATATTATATATTCATATATTCTACACGTAGATTACCTTCACCATCTAAGGCTCACTTAAGGTTACTTAAAAATAACTCTGAAATCACTTCAATGTAATCTGTGTAAAATAATCACAATGAATATAAACTTTTCATCCTGTAAAGTTGTGATGCCTAAATTCCCTTTTAATTTAGGCATCACACCAGTGATTGAATTTAGCGATTTATTTTTTTATGTATTTATACAAAATTATAATTATTGCCCAAAACATTGAATTATTTTTGGAAAATTATTTTAATATGAGTGCATCCCTAATATTAAAAAAATAAATGTATTTAGTGTTTTTTTTTTTTTTTTGAGCCATGATAAAGTTTACTTTGTATCTCAGGACGAGGTTGACAGACGTTCATTGATATTCTAGTGCAGGCTCAATAATGCTCCTGGAGATAAAACACCCTGCATCATTTTCTTCCAACTCTTTCCTAACATACCTGCCAATGATTTTCAAATGCAATCGAAGGTTGTGATTCTTTGGAGGTAGATCTTCAAGAGCATGATTGAGTAATCCTCTTGGGGTACATGATATTCAATTATGGCTGAGGACAGAAGAAGGCCTATTCTCTATTACAATGTGTGAAGGTTTGACTGGTATCTGTTGCACCCCATAAACACCCTATTTTCTCCATAGACAGTTTCAATGGTTTAACTTATGAAGTGTTTGACTAGTACATCCTGAGTGCTGAAAATTTGATAATGGTGATATTAGAGGTCAGGAATGAAAATAAGCAAAGAAAAGTACATTTAAAATCAAAACACTGATATGTGACTAACTAAATTAATCCAAGAACAACGGAAGAAAAGCAAGTCTCAAATGAGCTGAAAAAGAACTGAAAACCACAAGTGATCACCAGATGAATTGCTCTGACAGGAACTAAGTCATGTGACTGACCGGAAAGTATAAGGGCAGATGTTTCAATTTACATTTTTAGAAATGTAAACTGATACTGACTGATATGAAAAATCATGGTTCTAGATCATAAGGCAACCTTTACCCAATGCAACATATGAAGAGAAACAGAAAAGAGGCTTGTGAGGATGTCTGTTTAAGCTCTGATAAACATCTGCTCAGACTAACACTTGTAAAGGACTTTTTGAGTCAGCAGCAGCGCCCACATATTTATTTAATTTGGCAATGAATGCTATAACACATGCATAACCTGTTAGCTGCAGTCAGTTCAAGTTAAATTTTAAGCACATTTAAAAAGAATTTGAAATAAAAGTTCTCATGGGATGTAACTGTGCACTATGCATCAATAGTAACGTACATAGAGACCTTCAGCTTTTCATTCATTCTTTGTATACTTCACATTTGAAACAGGATACAACTGTGAAGTATCAGAACAACAAGATGCCGTTTTCAAGAGGAAAGAAGCCCACTACCAGTAAAATCCCCAAACTTCACCCCAAAGGACTGGAGAACCAGGTATACAATGAGATTAGGTCAGATC